TCTCTATTTAAAAAAAAAAAAAAAAGCTGGGCGTGGTGGCATGTGCCTATAGTCCCAGGTACTCAGGAGGCTGAGGCAGAAGGATCACTTGAGCCCAAGAGGCAGAAGTTTGAGGTTGCAGTGAGCTATGATGACATGTCACTGTACTCCAGCCTGGGCAACAGAACAAGACTCTGTCTCAAAGAGAGAGAAAGATTTGGAGCAGGTGACACAGACACAGGGAAGGTCCTATGAAGATGGAAGCAGATACTGGAGCAATGAAGCTAAAATCCAAGGAATATCAAGGATTGCTGGCATTTGCCAACAGCCAGAAGAGGTAAGGAAGAATTCTTCTCTACAACTTTCCAAGAGAACAAAGCAAGAACCTGCTGACTTTTACTTCAGGCTTCTGCTCTCCCAAACCATGAGAGAATCAATTTCTGTTGTTTTAAACCACTCAGCTTGTGTACTTTGTTGCAGCAGCTTTGGGACACACACAGAGGGTAAAAACACAAGATACTAACAATGTCAATATGGCTTTCTGGTTCTTCAATCTTTTGGACAAATCTGATTCACTGTTGGCTTTTCTTCTACTCCTTCCAAACCTTGAATATAGATATTGCCCAAGGATTAGTCCCTTGGGACTAAGCTTATGTATTTTCCTACTGAGACTGAATTTGCCACTGCTATTTGGGAAAAGTCTCAAATTGGTAATCTCACCAATCCTGCCTTTTCGACCGCTTTGTGGTATGACATTCCTTGGTTATTGTGCAAGGATAATTTACAGAAAATTGACCTTGCTGAATTACTTTTGTTTTTATTTTTTTTTTACATTGAATAGCAGACCTGTATTACAAGACTGAATTACTTTTAAAGCTGAGTTCAGCCAGGCATGGTGGCTCATGCCTATAATCCCAGCACTTTGGGAGGCAAAAGCAGGATTGCTTGAGGCCAGGAGTTTGAGACCAGGTTGGGAAATATAGCAAGACTCCATCTCTGGAAAAATAAAAAAATTAGCTGGGTGTGGTAGCACCTGCCTGTAGTCCTAGCTACTTGGGAGGCTGGGGCAGGAGGATCACCTGAGCCCTGGGTTTCAATGCTGCAGTGAGCTATGATCATGCCACTGCACTCCAGCTTGGGCAAGAGAGAGACCCTGTCTTTTTAAAAAAAACAAAAAAGTTACCTCACAGTCCTCAAATTCTGGATTCCTACCTTCTTCTACTAATTTTCATATTGCAGTTACTGCATTTAATATTAATATATGCTAAAAGAGCTACTCCATTATATAGTTACCATTATTTTTTGTACCACTAAGAAACAAAAATATAACTAAAAGATTATAAAATGTAATGTAACATAGCAGTCCCCAACCTTTCTGGCACCAGGGACCAGTTTCATGGAAGACCGTTTTCCCACGGATGGGAGTGGGGGGTTAGGGGGGAGGCAGAGCTCAGGCAGCGGTGCCAGCGATGGGGAGCAGCTATAAATACACTTGCTCACCTGCTGCTCACCTCCTCCTGTGCTGCCCTCTGTTCCTAAGTTTCACGGAGGACAATTCTTCCATGGAGGTGGGTGGGGTGGGGAGAGGTGGGTGAGGTGGGGAGAGGTGGGGAGGTGAAACTCTGCAGCTCTGTCCCTGACAGGCCACGGACCAGTATTGGTCTGAGGCCCAGTGGCTGGGGACTGCAGATGTAAGACACATCTGGATTCAGAGATAACAAAATATGAAAAATTGTGACTTTGAGTCAATATAATAAAAAGTAGTAACACGATTTCCTAGTCATCAGAGTACTTTGACCTCTCCTATTCCTTCAATCTACATACTCACTATCATTAGGTATTGATTTTTTTTTCAAAGTCTCACAGTATCTGTTTTCTTTATACACAGTTTTAGTCTTCATTCATACCAAGATAACTACTATAACTGGTTTTTTTAGACTGTCTCCGCTCCATGAAATTCTCTGCATACCAACACCACACTAATTTTCCTAAAATACCTACATACGTTTTATTTTTCATTCCCTTTAAGGTAGACCCTTAATACCACTGAGATAAAATCCAAGCTTACACGGCCTAGCTGTGGCACACACCGCTAGTCGCATATCCAATCTCCATTCTGCTCTAATTTTGTTTGAGGCAGTTTGCACCAAACTAATACACAGTATCTTCCCAGATTCCCTTGCAGCTAAGAATGATCATGTGACATAGTCTGGCAGAAGTTTTTCAGGGATTTCTGAGAATATCTGTGCTTTCTTGATGTAAGCACTGTCCCTTTCTACAGTACAAAGCTAAAGATGAAGTGAGCACCTTGTAAACATGAATTAAGTATAAATGGGTAAAATGTATAGAACTGACAAAACTGAAGATGGCAGATTAAAAATATACAAGGGGCCTAGGTCACCAATGACAGTGTAGATCCACTGTACTAGGTCTGGACTTCCTATTTCTGAACAATTTTACATGATAAAAATAAAATCCTTTTTGGTCAAGCCACTGCAGGAGGGCCTCTCTTATATGCAGTTAAATGCAACCCTAAAGGAAACCAGCATTCAAGTCTTGTCACAGCCTGCTCTCAACCACACCTTTTTTGTCTTACCTCCCATTATGCCCCACATTTTCAGGCCTCTGTGTTTATTCACATCATTTTGCACTGAATTCGCTGCTTACCAAACACACAGCCTTCTTCCACACCTTTGTGCTTGCGTACGTGCTCTGTGCTTTTAAACACACTTTCACAGAAATGCCCTCCCTTTGCTCAAGCAAACTCCTACTTACTGCATTAAGATCCAGCTTCACTATGTAGCATTAACTTGCTCATTCCTTTGTTGTACCCTTAATGCTTTCTTCATACCTCTAGCCTAGCACTTTTAATCACTCATCGTAATCACTTATTCACACATCTACTTCCCCTATTAGACTATTAACTCCTTCTTTGCGGGGACTATGTGTTTTTTTTTATGTAGCACCAATGTCTGGCACAGGGTAAGTTTCAAATAAGCATTTGAATGAGGAATAAAATGCTAACTGGATTTTTTTTGCATTCAAAGTTAATTCATAATTCTTATCTCAGACTTTGTCCCATCAGATATTGTCCAAATATTTTTTCCTTCCCCAATAGTAAAAGAAACTGTAGTGCTAATAATAGCATCTTCAAAAATCCAGTTATCATGTTTTACTCTTCCTTCTATTTTCTACAGGACTGAGCACAAAACCTCTTATCTAACAGGAACTTCGAAATGTTTGAATTAACTTTATACCATCATGAAAAATAAAGAAGACATTATACCTATAGATGAAGACTGTGGACTAATCAGAAGGTCCTCTTGGACTTGTTCACTTCCTGGCACTGTCTGCTGATCACTCAGGGAACTCTGAGATGCACTGACAGGCTGGGACACTTCCTCGTGGACCTCCTCATCACTTAACCTTTCTACTTTGACCCGGACATCTTCTTCCGTACTCAGAGGCAAGGTAGTTTTTGTGCTTTCACAAGTCACGTAATCAGCAATTCTTCTACCTGTCTCAGACGGGCCAGGTAATTCTAAAGTCCGGGTATTTTCTGCCTGCTTAACCTTGTCAGGTTGAATCCTTCGATCAATTCCAAAAGGGAAAGTCCAGGGAAAAGCTAAAGAAGAGTCGACTGGCTGATTTCTATTTTCTGAGTAGGAAGCTGAAGAATTCAATACCTGGGGTGAACCTGTTTGCGTGCTACACTTTACAGGACTTTCAGGAGACATAACAATGTAGCTTTTGCGCTTTCTCCGGGATTCTCGGCAGACAGGAATGGTTCTTTCTACCACACTGCACTCTGAAGAAACTGGAGAAATGCTTCCATCTCGAGAAGTAAAATTGCAGTTAGAATTATTTTCTTGTCCAGCATCTAGACCCTTTTCTGGTTGGCTGTTGGGTGTATTCCATAAAATGCTTGATTTCATGAATTCTGAGCAGGTGCTAGCAACACTAAACATTTGCATATAGCTGGCTGCAGCTAGAACATCAATAATATTTTCTGTGTTAATTGACAAAGTGGCCGTGTAAGCATATTCTAAGAGGGGTATAAAGCCAGTCACGGTAACATGATGCAGATCCAACACATTCTTGTTCTCATCCTCTGCTTGGCCTACAAGTTTCGTGCGAAAGAAATCACTGCAAGCTGCTAGTACTACTTTATGTGCCCGGAAGATTTTGTCCTGGACACGAATAGTGATATCGCAAAAATGTCCATCATTTCGCAGCATATTTAGCTTTCCAAGCATTTCCTGGCTGTGGGAAGAGGAGCTATGAGTAAATGTTTTCACACCCATCTTTTCCTTCCTCTTCTACAGATGCTCTTCAAGGATGCAAATGAATCAGAAATGTCCTAAAAAAAATACACAAAATAAAGCATTAATTGATGGTTTAGTAGTTTAACTAGAAGGAGATTTAGATTATTTTCATGTGGCCAGTGTGCTAAATAAAAAAGTTGAAAGATGGCAGTGAGAAACTTCAAGGTAGGGAATGTATTAAAATAAACTCTCCCTACCGGCCTTCCAAATTGTACAGTCAGTGGAGTCAGTGAATGGCTTGAGCTACAACAGTTTGTAAATAACAATAATTGTAGAGTGCTTTGTGTGTGCCAGACAGTATTATAAATGCTTCAGATTTGATAATTTATTGATTGTCATGGTATCTTTCAGTAGGTACATTATTATTCCTGTTTCTAAATGCAAGCATGCAGTGGGTAATGCCAGTTTAAACACTAAACAATCCATTACATAATTGTCCCTTTGAATGTTCTATGCAGGTACATGTACAGGGGAAAAGACAGACAGGGAAAGGGGAAAAGACAGACAGGGAAAGGGAAAAAGAGCAGGGGAAGTGGAAAAGAAAAAAAAAAGAGATTTTAAGATGAATAAAAAAGGTCACTGACTATTCTAATTTGAGAAGATAAAATGCTCAAGCTGGGACTGTTCCCTGTCTGATATCACAATAGAAAGGATAAAAGGCATAAAATCCTGTGCTAAGGCAGCCAGGTAAGGGCACTGAAATAATTATCTTGACCACAATGAGTGGTGACAGTTCAAATATAAACCTGCTCCACATATCCTTCCTGAACAGAACTAATCACAACGAGACACTGGACAGCTAGAATCGGTCTACTATGCAAACCATCGTTTAACGTATTTGCTGATCTCTCTCTCATAGGAATGAGACGAAACGGAAGAAAATGTGAGTGCTATATACAAAGTGTGTTGTTCATTTGTTCCATCCCAAGAAACTGGCTTCTGCTTCCAAAGCCTGGCCTTCAAGAGTGCTTACTTTGACTGGGATCATGGGGTTGAGGGAGGAAACATGCCTTCAGAGCAAGTGACACAGTCATAGTCCAGGGACCATCTGCATGAACAGAGGTGTGAAAGCAAGAAATTAAACAGCGATTTAGAGAACATGTGCAGCAGAAAGTTAAAATGAAACCACTTTAATCTTGGAATGGCTGAAGGCCCCAGCAACAGATGCTGTACTACATTCCCAAGTGAGGGGCAAGGCCGCCTATTCAAGGGGGTAGTGGACAACTATTTTTCAACCTTGAGCTACATCCACCTTCAATGTTCAAGGATAAAGACTAGAAAAGGTGCTCACTTCGGCAGCACATATACTAAAACTGGAACGATACAGAGGTTAGCATGGCCCCTGCACAAGGACGACACGCAAATTCGTGAAGCGTTCCATATTTAAAAAAAAAAAAAATTAGAAAAGGATTTTTGCTGAGAGTAATCAGTGTGTTGTAAATTCCAAACCCCATCCTAGTCCCTCCTACTCCCCTGCAATGGAAGGGGCTTTGAGGGATGTTTCGCCCTTTGTCTCACGTCTATGGAAAATGTGACGTACTTGGAAAAACTCTTAAGGACACAAATCTGATTTAAACATTGGCCAAGACCAAGCCAACGTCACATGAAAACAATACAGTGGGCCGGGCGCAGTGGCTCACGCCTGTAATCCTAGCGCCTCTGGGAGGCTGAAGTGGGCTGATCGTTTGAGCTCAGGAGTTTGAGACCAGCCTGAGCAAGAGTGAGACCCTGTCTCTACTAAAAATAGAAAGAAATTATCTGGACAGCTAAAAAAATATATATATAGAAAAAATTAGCCGGGCATGGTGGCGCATGCCTGTAGTCCCAGCTACTCAGGAGGCTGAGGCAGAAGGATTGCTTGTGATAAGGAAAACCCCCATCTATTACTTGGCACATCAGCCACCTGAGACCCCCCACCCCTCATGGAAGACCCGCATCAGCATAATACTAACCTATTACCTGGCCCATCAACTAATCTATTACCTGGCACCGCACATCAGCATAACACTAAATCTACTACCTGGCGCATCAGCATAACACTAAATCTACTACCTGGCGCATCAGCATAACACTAAAATCTATTATCTGACACATCAACTAACCTATTACCTGGCAGGCATTAGCCACCTGACCCCCCAGATCACTACAACTTAATAAAAGTGGGAAAACGCAGATAGACGGTGCTCAGAACTTGGTGGCGAGGCCCATCTGAGCCCGCCGGCGAATAAACTTTGATTCTCTGACTCTCCATGTGCCACTCCGTGTGTCCTCGGGACCACTTGCTATAACACTTGAGCCCAGGAGTCTGAGGTTGCTGTGAGCTAGCCTGACACCACGGCACTCTAGCCCAGGCAACAGAGCAAGACTCTGTCTCAAAAAAAAAAAAAAAAAGCTACAACTAAGACAGGAAGGCAAGAAAAAGAAAAGAGAACCAAAGAAGAGAGGGAACAAACAGAAAATGGCAGACTTAATACATAACATTATCAATAATTACCTTAAATGTAGTTTAAATAAAACTAATTAAAAGACAGTAACTGGCAGAAAAGAATATATATATACACACACACACACACACACATACAAATAAACATGAGCTAACTATATGCTATCCATAAGATACTCACTTCAAACATAACCATATATGTACGCTGAAAGTAAGAGGATGAAGAAAATATAAAAATGCACTGCTTAATGAAGTACCTACTTGCTACATGTGGTTATTTTACTTAAATAAAATTGAAAATTCAGTTTCTGAGTTTCACTTATCACATTTCAAGTAGTATTATTAAAAATCAGTTTTACTGTATTGGTGATATGCTCTTATCACTTTATTTATAAAAATTTCTCCAAAAGTCTGCTATAAACTAAAAAGCCTACATCACCTAAGTTATTTAATAAGCAACAGTTAAGGTTTGTATTTTACTATAGCAAAATATACACAAAATTTACCATTCTAACTATTTTTAAGTGTTGCGTTCAATGGCATTAAGTACATCCGCATCGCACAATCATCGTAACTATCCATCTCCAGAACTCTCCCATCATCCCACATTGACATTCAGTCCCTAGTGATAATAACTCCCCACTTTTTCCTCCCCCTAATTCCTGGTAACCAATGTTCTACTCTCAGTCTCTATGAATTTGACTATTCAAGGTACCTCACATAAGTGCAATTACTCAATATTTGTCCAATTATATCCGGCTTATTTCACTTAGCAAAATGTTCTCAAAGTTCCTCCATGCTGTAGTGTGCGTCAGAATTTCCTAAGGCTGAATAATATTCTTTTTACATACACAACAAATTTTGTTTATCTGATAGACACCTGGGTTTCTTCCACAGGTTTTAAATCCCCGATTTAATTAATGCAAGTGAGGTTGGAATCACAAATTCAGACAATCTCCAGGTACAGAGGAATCTTTGAGGCCGTCTAGTCCCACAGCCTTCTAACTTAAATCATTTGACTGAAGTCACTCCAATCATAAAATTCTCTTAAGTATTCTGCAGTATATATTGAGTATGAGTGGCTACCACTTTAAACTGTTCATATTTCTTTTTCAAGTTGGCAATTATCATCTGTATTTTAATTAACCTATTTAACCCATTAACCTATTTAACCATGACATACATGACAACTGATATTCAGATATGTGCCATATACTTCCATAGGCAAGGACAGATTTTTTTAAATTGTGGTAAAATATGTAACATACAATTTGCCACTCTAACCATTAAATGTATAGTCCATTGGCATTAAGTACAATCACACTGTTGTGCAACCAGCACCATTACCTATTTCCAAAACTTTTTCATTAGCTAGGCTAGATTTTTATAAAACTAAAAAAAATGCAGAGAACAAAGGCAAATAGCACCACAGAGTTTATTTTGGCATGGTCACAGCAAAAGAAGTTTACACTGTGTGTAAGACATAAATTCATCCATTTAAACTATATCAAAAATTTTTTCATTTTTATATAAAGGAAATAAATTACATGTTCAATCTGATTTTTGAAAATTAAGTTTTATTTGACAATCAGAATCTTGATTTTTTTGTTTTCTACCCCACAGATATTAAAAAGGCAAGCAAACATGTAGGTAAAATTTTTTCACAAATGTAATATTAGAATTCATGGAATTTATAGAATAACACTGTATGTGATGTTACCGCAAATTTTCTCATTGTACCATTCTTGCTTTTAGGCAATATGGATATACAACTCTCATACTTTGTTTACTCATCCTTCTCTTATTAAAAATTAACAGATAGGCCGGGCGTGGTGGCTCACACCTGTAATCCTAGCACTCTGGGAGGCCGGCGGGCGGATTGTTTGAGCTGAGGAGTTCGAGGCCAGCCTGAGCAAGAGCGAGACCCCGTCTCTACTAAAAAAATAGAAAGAAATTATCTGAACAACTAAAAAATATATAGAAAAAATTAGCTGGGCATGGTGGCACATGCCTATAGTCCCAGCTACTCGGGAGGCTGAGGCAGTAGGATCGCTTGAGCCCAGCAGTTTGAGGTTGCTGTGAGCTAGGCTAATGCCACGGCACTCTCTCTAGCCAGGGCAACAGAGTGAGACACTTTCCCCTCCCCCCCAAAAAAATGAATGGATAAAATAAAATTGAAGTAAATGTAATAATCACAAACACTTCAATAATTTATAATTGCCACAACTATTAATGGTTCTTTACAAGAGGGTGTGGCAATTAAGTTACAGAAGCCCAATTCTTGAAACTCTAATTTGACTTGACAACTGATCAAGAGACTGTAATCACAAAACTTTTGCTAAGATCTCCTCCTTTGGCCAAGCGTGGTGGCTCACGCCTGTAATCCTAGCACCCTGGGAGGCCAAGGCGGGAGAATAGCTTGAGCTCAGGAGTTCAAGACCAGCCTGAGCAAAAGCAAGACCCTGTGTCTACTAAAAATAGAAAAAATTAGCCAGGCATGGTGGCGCACACCTGGAGTCCCAGCTACTTGGGAAGCTGAGGCAGGAGGATCTTTTGAGCCCAGGAGTTTGAGGTTGCTGTGAGCTAGGATGA